TGTTTGTTTGGACTTTTGCTTCTGCTTTTGCAGCTTTTTTATTTTGACCAAAAAGCCATAAAAGTTCCTAAATAGATGCTTTTAAAGCTTTTTTTTTTGTCTTTTGATGAATCAATGTAACAATATTGAGCTCCAAATGCGATAAAAGCTGCAAAAGCACCTATTTAGGAGCTTCTGTGGCTTTTTGGGCAAAGTGAAAAAACTGCAAAAGCAAAAGCCCAAACAAACAGAGCCTTAAAAATCCGTCGATCATCACAAGGTCTGGGTGCTACCGCCCTTAAAAGCAAGGTTACGGTTCCAACAAAACTCATGTACTCCATCCTTAGGATTGACAATGGTGGTCTTATCATATCTTCGGAGTAACTCCTACACTTTGTTAAGTCTCAGTCGACTAAGCTCTAGTCACACCCTTATCAAAGTAGTACTCAGCCAATTAGTCTTATCTTATACTTCCTTCATCCGGAATTAATTGACGCTTAAATAGATGTATTCACATATGGTTTATGTTTTGAAACGACTGGAATACATTACTGGACAGCGCACGGAATAAGGAGGAATTATTTGTTAAGCCGCCGCATACTGGGAATTTAGCGAGTCTCAAGGATATATTTCATGTCTTAATCTGACTAGCTAGTGTCCTATTAGGAGACGCGCTGGTGTACAGTATAAGTCTGTACTGTGTGTGTCAGAAAGCCACACATATGCCATCGGTACATCGACAAGGAGAACTCATGAACACTGTGCAATCAAACACTTTCACAACCTTATTTTCAGTTACCAGTTCCACAATCCATCATCTCCTTCAGCAAACGTCGCTGCCTAAACTAGTCAATCCAAGCACTACATACGAGTACCAGGCCCACCGCCCGCGCGCACCACCTCGTCCCGAAATGGCTTCTTCCCGCACACCAACCAGGCAGCTTGACGACATGTCATGGCGGCCCTACTTGCGCACGCACGCACGGACGGTCGCGAGCCCGCACTGACCGGTAGGGGTACATCGATCGATCACAACAGGTGCGCCGGGCACGACACGTACTGCATGAACTCGTCGTCGCGGAGCAGCGCCGCCATCGTGTCCGGCGCGAGGCACACCTCGATGTCCACGCTGTCGTCCCCGGAGCGGCCCGGGAACGCCGACATCTTGCCGTCGAACTTGTTGGCGCGCCCGCTGCGCACCGCCAGGGGGCGGCCCCACCCGAAGTCGTTGCCCTCGTACATCGGGAACCGGTTGGAGCTGCCCATCGTCACCACCGCGCCGTCCGGGTTGCCCAGCGGGAAGCACCGGGGCGCCGCCTGCCACGCCGCCGCGGCCCCGCGTATCGCCTCGTCGCCGTACGCCGCCAGGCTCGCGTTCAGCCTCGACGCCGCCCACCGCAGGTCGTTGGACGCCAGCTCCGCCACCGTCGCCGTCGTCGGCGCGCTCTGGATGGCGTTCCCGAAGTAGGCCGGGGAGACCGCCGGGCGCAGCCGGTGACGGCAGTTCACCGCCAGGCGTAGCGTCGTCGTCGCGTCGGCGTCGAGCTGCTTCCGCGCGCGCGTCGTCGAGATCCATATCTGCGCGCACAGTGACTGGAACGACGAGATCTCGCCGCGGGCCTCCTGGTTCTTCGGGTCGTGCGCCATCTTGCCGTAAACCTCGGCATCTTGACCGGCGCTCGACCGACGGTTGGCTATCGCCTTCAGCTCGCGAATTGCGTCCCTGCTGAAGTGGAAGATTCTCTCGCGAAGGGGCGCGTCCGCGTCAAAGGTCACGGCGGGGCCCACGCCGCCGGCAAAGCGAAGGACGGCCGTTGACTCGCCAAAGAAGTTGCGGCGGAAGTCCGGCAGCCTGGGCGACGCGCCGCGGCAAAGGGCGGCCCAGGTGTTATAAAAGTGCCAGAAGGAGGTGCCGTCCACGACGGCGTGGTTGGCGACGATGCCGATGAAGACGGCGCCATCGCCGAGCACGGTGAGCTGGAACGACGTGAGAGGGCGGCGGTGGCCCTCGTAGCTCACGGTGCGGTCCATGGGGAACAGGTCCTTGGTCAGCCTGGTGGGGACGTCGGCGTTGGGCACGAGGAAGTCGTTGAGCGACAGGGCCGGCGCCACGGCGTGGCGGAACTCGACGCCGGCGTCGTTGCATCGGATGACGATGCGGTCGTCGGGGAGGGTGACGAAGCGGCCGGCGAGGGCCGGGAAGACGGCGAGCGCGCGGGAGAGCGACGAGACGAGGAGCGAGACGAGGGAGGCCATGGGGACGTCGGGGGCGGGGAAGAAGAGGCCCTTCTGGATGTAGTGGCAGGACAGCATGGGCAGGTCGGAGACGGAGAGCGTGAGGTCCCCGAGCGCCGACGGCGGGCCGTCCGGGTGCACGGCCTGCCTCGACAGCACGGCGATGCCCGAGCCCGACAGCGGCGCGTCCAGGCAGATGGGCTGGGCGGGCATAATGGCGGGGGCGGTGGGGACGGTGTCCATCGTCATGGTCATGGCGGAGAGCATCTGGGCCATGGGTGCCGATCGGTTGCTACCACCGGTCCACCGCTGCTGCTGCTGCTAATGGCGCGTTGGGCGGTAGCTAGCTAGAGGCCAAGGAGGTGGTTTGGGCAGTGCTGCCTTGTGCTGGACAGTGAGCGAGCTGGGGCGGTTTATATAGCACACCAAGGGGGTGCTGGATGCATGCACCTGAGCGTCAGTACCTTCTCTACCAGTAATACCACTGTTTTGGATATTCTCTGGGCAGGTTTGGTGCTTGTCTGATGCAGAGATACATACACAAATCAGATAAAGGAGCTACCGCATATGTGTGTTATGCTTGTGCCTGTGAAGAGTTCAGCCCCCAAAAGAAAAGGTTCCATTTCTTAAAATAAGGATGTTGATTACAGATTAGGATGGTGATTAGGAGCATCAGCGTTAGCCAATTTGTTGGCTGCACATAAAATATTCCAACTCTTTGGGGTGTTCCCAGAACTACTTCCTCCCTCCGCTTGAAAATATTTGTCGGAGAAATGAATGTATCCGAACGTATTTTGTTCTACATACATCCAATTTTTATCCATTTCTTCGATAAGTATTTTCGAACAGAGGAAGTAGCATATTGGCACGTGTTTTGACTTTTATATTAATGTTATTTAATAAATATAAATGTTTGCCAAAAAAATTCTAGGATTTTATTTGATAAGCATTTATTAGCTTACCAAAGCAATCAATTTTTTATTTGGTAAAGCCAATAAAAGATTGGCCGGTTAAAGCGATTTAAAAAAATAATTGAATAAAAACCAAAGATAGATGGAAAAATAAAAACCGAGAGAGGGGAGGAGGTGGGTGGTGTAGGAACGTAGAATCCCAAACCCCCCTTTAGTAAGGCAAATGATCCAAACATAGCCGCTGGTCACACCGAACGATCGCCATGCGTCTTCTAGGACTGCCCAACCCGGTTCTCAACCGACTGGCCAACAAATAATCATGTCGTTCCTCTTTCTCCGATGAACCACCATCCATGCTTCTTCACCCATGAGGCCACGATCCGGCTATGGCGGGGCTCTCTCTTTTCCTTACCTGGTGCTGCAGAACGACATAAAATGGATTACGAGGGGGCTCATCCTCTTCTCCCGCTCCTCTCCCACCACTGGTCGGCTCCTCTCCTACCACTGGTCGGCAGAGGTTGCCACGCCACTGGCACGAGGAAGATATCCAACGCTACAAGTCGGCCACTATGAACGCACAGATGTTGCAGACAACCCCACTACAAACGACGACGGTGATGCAACAACGACAAATTGCAACATTGACCATGTTGCAACGGGTGACCGCAGCATGGACCGTGTAGCAAAGGGTGACAAAAGGCCCACCTCGTGCAAACTGAAGGTGATCGCAACATGGTCCATGCCGCAATTGGTGACCACAACATGCTCTGTATTGCGATGATCCGACGGTCGGCACGTTGCACAAAAACAAAGGGAAAAACGATTTGGCAGAGAGTGCAGCATGACTCATCTTGCAAAGACTGGCACACCACAATGGCTCACCGGGGAGCGATCGGACAGTTGTCCCGCGATCCATCCAACGGCTACGAGATTATCTACTACAAGTGTCAAGCATCTACTACGAGATTATCTACTACAGATATTTTTGATCAGCAGATCCTCCAAATTCCATTCCATCATGCAAGTTAACAGTGGCTGAGCCAGGATTCGAGTATAGGGGGGCCGAGTACGTATATTGTT